TTTTTGAGAGCCATTTTTGTGAAGCTTGTGTTGCGTTCTTGAGCGTACTTAGTTACTCATTATCCACTCTAAAAGAGAGTATTGCTCTTGAGAGTTTTTTTGTGTTCTTAGACACTTGACAAGAGAAAGTATTTCTCTTGTTGTTCGAAGGAAGGGTTGTTTCCTTCGAAGGTTTGTTGAGGTTCGTGTGACTCGAACTCTCAAGTTGTACGGGTTTGTTAAGCACCGTTAAGCTTAACGAGATAGTAGTGTAGCTCGAGAGAGTCTCTCGGGAGGCTGGATTAGCCACAAGTTGTGGTGAACCAGGGTAAAATCGGTGTGCCTCTTACTCTTCTCTTTACTTCTCGTTTATTCATTTTTATTCCTGCGATTTTTGATCAAACGCTATTCACTCCCCCTCTAGCGTTGGTCTTTTATTCTAACACGTTTTGATGGTCATTAGTAGGGAGACTAAACTGTGCATTATTCCTAATGAATGTGTATTATCTCGAGAATTAGTTCACCTTGGAGTTATAGAATTCTGATATTATTGTATTAAAGTCTATATATGAAATGTGGACAATTTCACATACTTTTTATGGACTCATAGTTAGATACTTCCTTCCAAAGTTCTATGTTCGAACGATGTCTAAAATTCTATGACTTTTAAATTAATTTTATTTACAAATTGATATAGAAATAAAAAAATAAAATTTCCTTATTTAAAGACTACGTCAAAAGTTCTGCAAAATGAGAGTTGTAACGCCCTAGAAACCGGCGTAGAAGTTAATCAATAATTAAATAACTAAGGATTATTTATTTACGACAATCTAATCTTTTAAAGAATTAAAAGATACTTTGTAGATTCTAATCCATACTTTATTTAAAAAGAGAAGTGGTCTTTGTGTTTTTCCGCCCAACCATTGTGAGTGAAAATGGTAAGTGATTTAATATCGTCTTTCAATATCCTTTCCTTTATATATATAAATGAGACTCCAAGATCTAAGGAGATGACACATGGCATTGCTAGGAGCTGACATGTGGCATTACTAAGAGCTGACATGTGTCATTAGTTATATGGCTTTTTTATGCAACCCAATTTATGAACTGAATAAAAAAAGAAAATTATTTTTATGTAGCCATTTCTAACACCTAATATGTCACATAATTTTTCATATGAAAAATATATATGAAAAGTTTGGTAAAAATAATTCATTAAATATAAATATGGGGGAAAAAGTTCCTTTTTATAATAATATTCTTTCTAAATTCTATATTTTTTTTCTTTATTTATAACAAATTTTTAGAATAAAATTTAAAATACTCTCTTCACCTATAAATAAATTTTATAACTATTTATTATACCTTTACTTCAAATTAGTTTTTTGATTACATTTATTTAAATATTGACACTTACAAAATAAATTGCTTTCTTCACGAATAAATAACTTTAATATTTTTTTTGACAGCTAATAGTCTAATATGCCACTTAATTAAAAATATAAAAAAATGTGAAACCAATATTTTGTTATGAAATCTTTGAATAAAGTTATGTATGCAAATGAAACATTCGCTTTAATGATAATATCCTTTCGCAATTCAAAAATTTTTACTCTCTTCTTTTATAATAAAATTTTCAACCAATAGGTAAGATGGTTTTAACCTCTAAATCAATTTTATACAAGTTTTTCTTTATGATATGTTAAAACGAAGTTAGTTTTGATTTGATTCGTTGAAATATTGATTTAAAATTTAAAACACACAATATATTTTAAAATTTACATAAAATGATATATAGAATAAGAGATGACTAAACTATAATTGTATTACTCCCTCCGTCCTGTATCTTTATTCCCGTTGCGCAAAACGAAGAAAAATCCCAAGTTTTTTCAATCTATTTTATTTAAATATTGATATAGAAATAAAAAATAAAACATACATATTTAAAAACTACATCAAAAGTTCAACAAAATAAGTGGTGACAAGAATATTTTATTTTATCATATAGGCCATGAAAAAACACAAATAAATATAAATTCCCGTGAAGTTGGAATAGTGCTCTGGGAAGAAAGTTTTAGAACGAAGGAAGTACAATAGAAAAAATACTATGCGTAATTTCATAGCTCGATTATATTGATTTTATGATTTGACTTTATTATATAAAATTTATAGTTTATAGTCCTTAGACTATTTATGATTTAAATTGAAAAATATAATATTCTTAGTCATCTCTCATGAATTGTGATGTGATATTTTTAATTAAATTATAGTAAACAATTGATAAAAAAAATGTGTTACCAAGACATACTATATTTACACTAACATTATTTTTTATTTAAATATTATTAAGCAAATTTATTTATGAAAAATATATCATCACTTTCATTAGAATACATTTTTTAAAATTTTATATTTTTTCACAACATTTATAATAAAACTATTAACGAATAAATGAAATTTCCTTCCTTTAAAATAGATACTTTCATAACCTCTAAAAAATCATATTTTTATGACACACTTAAATGAATTTAGTTTTGATTTTATTTCTTAAATATTGATATAAAATACAATTTTTAAAAAATATATTTTGATCTCTGCATTAAACTACTACAAATGACTAGCATATTTTCAAAATGATCAAATATTTAAATCACATAAATTAAAAAGGAGTAATTTTGTACTCAAATAAAAAGAAAAAACACAAAAAAAAACTATAAAATATTTTTGTAAATTTCTTCTCAAAATCATAGAATCACGAATGTTTTTTTCTATTAATTTCTTTAATTGATGCTAATGAATAGAATCATTGGATTTTTAATTATTTTTTATTTTTATTTTATGAATTACAGGATTGCTAATGTATGGTTTTTTATGACTTATGCGGGGAGAGAAGAATCATTTCGATATTTTTTAATCAATGCGAGAGAGGAAAATCATGACAATATGTGAGAGATGAATAATATTTATTTTACTATTCAAAATTAAAGTAGTGACGCATGATAGAAGAACCATATTCTTTGAATCATAACTAATGCAAAGAGAATAATAGTAGAATCACCAATTTTTTTTAATTAAACTGTGGAAAGAAAAATAATATTTTTTTAATCAATATGAGGAAGGAAAATAATATTAATGCGGGGAAATGAATCAATTTTATTCGATATATAATCTAAACTAATATGCAGAGAATCATTTTTTTGCCCATCAATGATGGTTGTACAACGGTTACGTCAACATTGATGTGGATGCTTTAACGGGGTTGGCTGATAGAGTGTCGGGAATCATTTTATTGCTTAAAATTATCAAGGAGCTTTAATGGTAGAGGATGTTTCAGACCTAGAGAAGTGGGGGCATATAATTTATGTAAATGAGGCTTGAACCTTCATCAAGGACAAAGATTGGAGGCTTATCTTTGTGGAAATCGATTGCAACGAAGTGATTGATACTCTTAATAATTCCACCAATATTATGATTTAGGCCATGTTCCGTTGAACTTATTGTTTCTTATTTTTTTCTTATTCTTATTAAAATCAGATCAGATCAGATCAGACCAGACCAGATCAGATTGAATCAGATCAGATCAGATCCAATCAGATCAGATCAGATCAGATCCAATCAGATCACACCAGATCAGATCAGATCCCATCAAGAATTATTATTATTACTATTATTATTATTATTATCATTATCATCATCATCATTATTATTATTATTATTATTATTATCATCATCATCAACATTATTATTATTCTAAAAAATGAAAAAGAATATACTTTAGAAACAAGTTAAATAGAAAACTGAGAAAGTAATTCTTAATTATTAGACGTCAGAAAAATTATTTTTAAAATACATTGACAATCTCTATCTAATTCTACTTTAAAAATAAATTTTTATTGCTACTTGTAATTTAAATTTAAATTTTCATTACTATTAAAAACTCACTCTTATACTTACTAATTCTTAACATGTTTATCACATCATATTTTTCACTATTAATCTATCCATCACATCTTACTTTTACTCATATTATCGAAGGTCATTTTTAAAAGATCAACATCAAAATAAATCATTTAAAAGTCAAAACGAAAAAAATTTTGTGAAATGAAGGAAGTATATTTTATCATTATTCTAACTTTTAATGTTGATGTTTTATTTGGTACATATGATTTTTTAAAAATGTTGAAGCAAAGAAAAATTAAAAATTCGTTCCACCCGTGCATGGCACGGATTAAAAGACTAGTTTAAATAAAATAATGGACTTTTCTTTCCAAATGAATAAAATAAGGAAATCACAGGATGGTCCATATGTATCATTTTGGTGAACTACCGAATGAATAAAATAAGGTAATTCCATATAAATAAAAAAGGTAATTTCATATGAAGAAAATAGATGGTGCTATTAATTCCACATTATATATTCGGAGAGGGTGTGGGAGCTATTTGTAAATAAGGTAATTCAATGTAAATAGTAAGTGATTTGATACGGTCTTTCCATATTTAAATAAAATAATAGACTTTTTTATTTCTGAAAGAATAAAATAAGGAAATCACGGGATACAGATTTTTTTCCTAAATCTTTTTTATTTTTGAATACGGAAAGTAAACCTTTATTAGAAAATACATTAAATACGGAATTTTAAAAATTGGTAAGTAATACTACACAGTTTAAATTGCTCATAATCCATAATTTATGAAATAGTTTAATAATTTAATAATCAATAATTGTACAGTTTAATACTATGCAAAAAAACATTCATAATATAAATACACTCATTTTCCAACCGTACGTAGTCAGTTCATTCATCGAAAATCTTTATTCCGTGCGTACGTAATTAGTTTATTCAACGAAAATTGTAATTCCTACGAAACATGGGGATCTTAACCGCTTTGAAAAATGTTGACGAGAGCTCATCATTATAGATGATGAAACCGAGTGCAATTGGGGTTTATCATGTTTCTGCCCATGCTCGGGGCCAGAATCATTGGGTGTCACTTTTCCCAATTCGAAGGTTATTAGTTCTTCATTAAACTTTTTCCATTTGTTGTAGGGCGATCGAATCTGTGCTCAAATAAGAGATTCTAATATACATACTTTCGAACAAGTTTTTTGAAAAACTATTGTTTATTTAATGATGAGAATCAAGGGGTTAACGAAATATAAAAATGACCTTATTCTATTTTTTTGGTATCAACAAGTTCAAATAAAAAAATTTGTACAATAACTTTTCAATTCAAACAATGAAAATATTGTTGGAATTCTTTTAGATAAATTGGACATTTTTGGACATAAATTCGGTAGGGTCCACAAAATTATTTTCTGAAATAATTATGGACGTTTAATCACGTAAGTAAGACGAATGTCTTTACATTTACACGCCATAAACGGTGCTCGGGTGAATGAGAAATTAATTCTCAAAGTTGAATATGATGGAAGAGTAAATACCCTTGTCCCACACCAGTTTTTGAACTTTCATATTCTCATATTTAAGCTTATGCATTTAATTGAGCTTATGAAAGGAACAAGAATGGGACTCCTCGTGCGCCACCGCCACCGTCCGTCTGGCTCGGCACAACACGCGCGCGTGGCGTGGCACGGTGCGCCCATGTCTTCGGCGGGGCTAATTTTTTACGAGACCGAATTGAACACGCATGGACACTTTGTGATTAAAGAAGTATCGTCCATTTGAGCATGCATGCACAGGGAGGCGAAGAGGGTGCCAGCGACGCCTCGTAATCTCCATCCGGTCCCATGAAGAGCAAACTCCCCTCCTATAAAAGGAGGGCTTGGCTGCAGGGTAAAGACACTCGAAAAACAAAATCACTCTACGTTACTGAAAGCAAAGCTTTCCGACTAATCCCCTTTCCGATCATCTTCTCTGGTGATAACTTCCCGTCGTTCTCGTTTGCCGGTGCTTTGTTCTACCGCTCTAGACCTAGCACGCTGCGATTTTATCCTGGGAGGAGATTGCCCACGTTTGGCCAGTGCAGTAAGCGGGCAATACTACCTTAAGGAAAGCTCTGGCGACTCCACTTTCCTTACCTACGCTTCTAGAAACATCTCCGGCGACTCGCTGGTTTCATCCGACGCGGTTCCTGCCTGTTCGTGTTTGAGCTTCCGAAGACTCCCATTTTTCTCTTTTATTTTTCAGTTGTAAAAATCCAAACGAATTATAAGTTCGGATTAATAAATTTCTTTTATTCCCGCTGTAATATTATTCATCAATCTTAAGGTAGTATAATGGAGTTCGGATTTGGCACCGTGGGTTCCTCCGGCAACGCAATGAGTTTCGAAGTTCCGGTCGAAACCTCTTCGGTTGCTTTGGTTGTGCCGTCCTCACCGCTGCCCTTCGGGTCAAGTGTGGGGGCTGGCACCATGACCTCCTTTTCAATGCCGAGCTCGATCTTCGGGTCAGCCCCTCAACCCATTCCCGGGCTCGAAACCAAGGGGGGGTTTCCCCGTTGGTAATTCGAACCCGTTTCTCGGACCGACTATGGCTTCGGCCTCGACGGTCAACTTTGGACCGAACGTGGGTTTCACCGCACCGATCAATCTATTCGTTGGACTTCAATGGGTGACCAACGGGCCTTTTTTTCATACGCCCAATGCAGTTGGGCCAATTTCGGTGCCTGCTAGTTTGGTCTAGAGGCCACCGAAGTTCAATGGTACGAACTTCAAGATGTGGCAACAAAAGATGGTGTTCTTTTTTACCGTTCTGGGGTTTGCTGATTACCTACAGCAAGATCCTCCCCATCCGAACGACGGCAACGACCCCCTCGTGGCAATGGTGAACCAAGCATGGTACCATAATAACTATCTCACCATCAACATCATCCTCGAGGGGTTGGTCGAGACGTTGTACCCCGTCTACGCCGGTGCAAAGCTTGCCAAGGAGCTTTGGAGCAGCTTGAACAAGAAGTATCAAGCTGAAGATACCGGCACGAAGAAGTTCATTGTCGGGAAGATGCTGGACTACAAGATGGTCGACAGCAAATCTGTTGTCGCCCAGGCTGAAGAGCTTACGGTAATATTCAATAAATGTAATGAAGAGAAAGTAGGTGTCAGTGAAGAATTTCAAGAGGCGGCCATCATTCACAAACTTCCACGCTCTTGGGAAGACTTCCAAGCCGATCTCAAGCTCAAAAGAACAGAGCTGAACCTAGAGTAACTGCTCACACGGTTGAGGATCCGAGAAGAAGGGCTTGCCAGAAGAGGTGGAGGGGCAAAAGCGAATGTCCTAGAACATTCGTCGGGCTCTTCACATGGCAAGAAGGACAAGAAGAAAATAGGTCCTAATGGTGGTGTTTCTAAATTTGCAGGGAAACGCTAGAATTGTGGCATTACCGGGCATCGTTCCTTTGACTACAGGAAAAAGAAGCCACAAAAGAATAAAAAGAAAACCACCGAAGCCATGTTCGCAGAGCTCGAAAACTTGGACCTCTACGCGGTTGTCACCGAGGTGAATCTTGTCAGGTTAAACCCGAGGGAATGGTTTGTGGACACGGGAGCCACACGCCATATTTGCTCAAACAGGGCATGTTTCACGACTTCCAAGAGACCTCTGGTGACAAGGTCTGGATGGGCAACTCGGCCCAATCAGAGGTTCAAGGGGTTGGTAATATTAAGCTTAAAATGACCTCTGGCAAAGAGCTAACACTTAACGACGTGCTCTATGTGCCAGACATTCACAAGAATTTAGTGTCGGGGTCATTGCTGATCAAACACGGCTTTTGGATGGTGTTTAAATCAGATAAGCTAATCTTATCCAAGAAAGGGATTTTTATATGGAAAGGTTATATTTCCGATGGGCTTGTAAAGCTAAATGTAATGACTGTTCATGAAAAGATCAATAAAAATCATGTTGCTTATGTGTGTGAGTCTTCTAGTTTATGGCATGGTAGACTAGGACATGTTAATTATGCATCTCTCCGAAAACTAATTAACATGGAACACATACCTAAGTTTAGTATTGACTTAACTCACAAGTGCGAAACTTGTGTTGAGGCAAAGTCAACTCGAAGTTCGTTTGAAACGATCGAACGAAACACTCAACCTCTAGAGTTGGTTCACACCGACTTATGTGATTTTCGAACAACGCCTTCAAGAGGGGGTAATAAGTACTTTATTACCTTTGTCGATGATAGCACAAAATATTGCTACATCTATTTACTGAAAAGTAAAGATGAAGCGTTAGACGCTTTTATTTGATATAAGAATGAAGTGGAAAATCAACTCAATCGCAAGATAAAAGTATTGAAAAGCGATAGAGGTGGTGAGTATGATTCTCCACTTAATGAGTTTTGTGCACAACATGGAATAGTGCACCAAGTAACCCCACCGTATACACTGTGGTCTAACGGAGTAGCGGAGTGGAAAAATCGCACTCTGAAAGACATGATGAATGAGATGCTACTTAATTCTGGATTACCCCAGAACATGTGGGGGAAGTAGTTTTATCAAGTAATTATTTACTAAAAAAATACCTCGTAAGAAATTTGACAAAACGACGTATGAACTTTGGCATAATAGGAAACCTTCCTATAAGTATCTCAAGGTGTGGGGTGTCTCGCGAAAGTACTTGCACCACCACCAAAGAAGATGAAGATCGATCCAAAAACAGTTGATGGAATCTTCATCGAGTACAATAGTACGTCATATCGGTTCTTGGTGTACAAATCAGATAATACTGAAATTCACAAGAACACAATCATAGAGTCACAGAATGCAACGTTTTTCGAGCACATTTTTCCGTGCAAGTTAAGTGACGAAGCCAGTTCATCCAAACGTTCTCATACTGAGATGATGGATAACGATGATCCAAATCAGTTGAATTCTGGTGACGATGATGAAGTCGAACATGAAACTGAATTGAGATGAAGTAAAAGAATACGAACCAAAAAGACGTACGGTTCTAACTTCATAACATATCTGATAGAATTTGACAAAGGAACTTTGTCATTTCTAATGGAAAATGAACCCGATATTCTAACCTGTTTGGTAAAAAAGGAACCACGAACTTATCACGAGGCCGTAACCTCAACCGAGGGACGACCTCAAAGGTGAGAAGCCATAAAAAGTGAAGTTGATTCTATTCTTCAGAATCACACATGGGAATTGGTTGATCTCCCTCCAGGGTGTAAGCCATTAGGTTGCAAATGGGTCTTTTGGAGGAAAATGAAGCCTGACGGCTCCATTGACAAGTACAAAGCTAGACTTGTGATCAAGGGGTATAGCCAACGCGAGGGCTATGACTATTTGATATTTACGCGCCTGTGACTAGGATAGATTTTATTAGAATGATCATCGCATTTGCATCCTTACGAAACCTAGATGTTTATCAAATGGATGTAAACAAGCGCCTATGACTAGGATATGGTCTTAAACAAGCGCCAAAACAGTGGCATGATAAGTTTGACGAAGTAATGATGAACAATGATTTTAAGATAAACGAGTCGGATAAGTGTGTATACTTTAAAGACACATCTGAAGGTTATGTCATTTTATGTCTATATGTAGATGACATACTCATCGTTGGAAGCAATGACAGGATGGTTAAGTCCACCAAGGACATGTTGAACGCACGATTCGATATGAAGGATTTGGGTCTAGCTGATGTGATTCTTGGAATCAAAATAATAAGAAGACCAGATGGTTTAAGCTTGAGCTAATCCCACTACATTGAAAAAATCCTTGAAAAATTCAACAAGGATGATACAAAGATAGATAAGACGCCGATAGACGTAAATGTTCACCTTGGCAAACACCGAGGGAGTAGCGATTCTCAGACAGAATACGCTAGAGTTATCGGAAGTCCGATGTAACTGATGAGCTGTACACGGCCAGATTTAGCTTGCGCCATTAGCAAACTAAATAGGTATACTGTTGGCCATGTGTGCAGCCTACATATACTAGCAATCCGAGTGCTGAGCACTTGAAGGCCATTGTTTGAGTAATGAGATACCTTCGGGTATACTCGAGATTATAGCCTATGCTATCAAAGGTATCCACCCGTGCTGGAAGGGTACACTGATGCCAATCGGATTGAGGATAATAAGGATTTAAAATCGAGAAGCGGATTTATCTTTATGTTAGCCGGTGCAGCTGTATCCTAGAAATCCTCAAAACAAACATTAATTGCCAGATCCACCATGGAGTCTGAATTTATAGCACTAGACACAAATATTAATTGCCAAATTGTATAATGGTAAGTCTAGGCACATTCGCCGTAGACACAAATCCATTGGGCAACTTCTCAATACGGGTATTATCTCGATTGACTATGTCAAGTCAAAGGATAATTTATCGGATCCATTAACCAAAGGGTTAACCAATGAGCAACATGAGAAGTTATTAGTAGGAATGGGTCTGAAAGCCATACCCTGTGCTGGGAACGTTCCATGATGGAAAACCCAACCTGGGTGGTACCTGGGTTCAATGGGACAACCTACTTGTGGAACGAAGCACGGTCACTGTGGGGGCAAGCCGGATCACTGCCTTAACACCCCTCCGTTCCTACTGAGATATAGTGACTCTCGAAAACGATGAGGTTAGCATGACGCTTTAATGATTCTTGAACTATGGACAACGAGGTCCAAGTGGAGTAATCGGGATACTCTTAGAAGAATCTCCTATGTAAGAGTGAAGTGCGGTCGCTTCAACGGAAGGATTTCGGGCTGATCCTGTCTGACACTCTCGTAGAACCAGATGCGTGTTCCGCGAGCATAATGGGCACACCCATGAGAACGGAGTGATGGTTGGTTGAAACTTGTGTATTGTATATCGTTGTTTACATAAACGGCAGTACAGTTCAAAGACATCACGTTCTACTGAACAGCTAGTAGAGAAGGTATACTTTACAAGGAATAGGTTCAAAGGCATAAAACCTACCTACTCTTGCAGGTTTCAACTTCAGAGCTATTGCCAGTTACATGAATTAATTTTCATTCATGTGGGGGATTGTTGGAATTTTCTTAGATAAATTGGACATTTTCGGACATAAATTCGGTAGGGTCCACAAAATTATTTTCTGAAATAATTATGGACGTTTAATCTTGTAAGTAAGACGAACGTCATGACATTTACACGCCATAAATTGTGCTCAGGTGAATGAGAAATTAATTCTCAAAGTTGAATATGAGAGAAGAGTAAAAACCCTTGTCCCACACCGGGTTTTGAACCTTTCATCGCGCGCCGCCGCCGCCTCCGTCCGTCCGGTTCGGCACAACACGCGCGCCCGCGCGGCTAATTTTTTATGAGACCAAATTGAACACGCGTGGACACTTCGTGATTAATGAAGTGTCGTTCATTTGAGCATGCATGCACAGGGAGGCAAAGAGGGTGCCAGCGACGCCTCGTAATCTCCGTCCGGTCCAGTGAAGAGCCAACTCCCCTCCTATAAAAGGAGGGCTTGGCTGCAGGGTAGAGACACTCGAAAAACGAAATCACTCTGCGTTACTAAAAGCAAAGCTTTCCGACTAATCCCCTTTCCGATCATCTTCTCCGGTGATAACTTCTCGTCGTTCTCGTTCGCCGGTGCTTTGTTCTACCGCTCTAGACCTAGCACGCTGCAGTTTTATCCTGGGAGAAGATTGTCCACGTTTGGCTAGTGCGGGAGGCGGACAATACTACCTTAAGGAAAGCTCCGACGACTCCGCTTTCCTTGCCTACGCTTCTAGAAACATCTCCGGCGACCCGCTGTTTTCATCCGACGCAGTTCCTGTCCGTTCGTGTTCGAGCTTCCGAAAACTCCCATTTTTCTCTTTTATTTTTCAGTTGTAAAATCCGTATGAATTATATAAGTTCGGATTAATTAAATTGTTTTATTCCCGCTGTAATATTATTCATCAAATATTTAATTTGATACGCATGAAATAACTTTTTTGAACAATAACTTTTCATTAATTTCAAATACAATATTTTTTTTATATGAAAAAAGAGAAGAAAAACGCTAAAGAAAGAAGGGGAGGGGCTCTAAAACCGAAAGGTGCAGCGGAACAAATCATGAAATTACTGGAAGTATTCACTATTCACGGTAATCTTATCTCTGCCATCAAAACCTCCCTCATCGCAATGTGAGCTCGCGAAAGGCCCATTTATCTATGTGCACCCACCCACCCACCCAGTTTCAGAACAAAACCACAAACACAAGAGAGGGGAGAGACCGTATGTACCCTACCGAACGATCGAGAGAGGGAATGGAAAAAATAAACAGTGCGGAGGAGTACGTGGTGATGGGGCTGGCGAGGGAAAGTCCAATCCAATGGCTGGGAAGTGGTAAAATTACGAAACGCGCCATTGATCTGGATCAGAGGAAAATGAACAGAGCTTTTTCAACACCTGTCTTCGCTCCTCTATCTGCTGCTCCCACCTCACCACCCACCTTCCATTAATCTCCTTTCTCTTGAGATTAATGGTGATCACATCACTCACTCATATTACTACGTACAGTACACTACTAGTAAAGTCATTTGGCATCCGAATTAAAGTAATTAAGCATCTCTGTCAATAATTATCCAACTCGGATATTAATTATAAATAATGAAGCATGCGTTAAAAGGAATTACTCCGTATATATTTATATTAGAAGTTAAAATTATAATAAATTGAAAAAAAGGGAGAGAGAGAGAGAGAGAGGCCGGTTCTGAAGATGAATGAGCAGTGCACAAATGGCATGCAGATCAGCGAGGGAGGCATCCATATTTCGTCCATTTGTCAGCTAAAATTGCATCCTCCATTATTATTGAATTCCGATCCCCAATTCATGACTTAATTCCCCAAGGACACCCACTCTCTCTTACGAAAATAAAGGAGCTGAGTTGAGGTTGAGAGAGAGAGAGAGAAAGGGGGCACCAGTCGTCGTCACTCGTTCGGACCGAGTCATCGCCTCGCCTTTCTGTTTAAACGGAGCTCAATTGGTGGCGAAGATGGAGATTTCCGAGGTCTCAGCTGACCCGTTCAGCTTTATAGCCATGGGATTGGGATCCAATAATAATATTAATAATAATGGCAGCACCACTGCTCTCTGCAGCTCCCCCCTATTCGGCAATTCATCATCGTCTCCTCCTCCCCAATTCGCCACTCTCCATCTCGCCGCCGCCGCAGCCACCTCCAATTTCAATGCTCGGCTTCGGAAAAGGATGCGCAGCCGGCGCCGACGCCGATCTCCACTCAATTTCTCCCCGCTGCGCTTCCATCCTCCTTTCCACCCCCCGCAAGTCTATCCTCTCCATTCCACTCCTACTGTACTCTCTCTCTCTCTCTCTCTCCCTCTCTACATCTTTATTCCCTACCCACACACACACACTTAGAGTATTTTCCAATAAATAAATTTACAACCGTGCTAGATGTACCACAAATTCCTACATCATAGCTATGCACATTGATATTGGTATAAAATGGTAATACAAAAGAAAATCTTTTGACCAAGTGAAAAAATAAAGAAGTGTTAAATTGTAGTTGACTTCCAATTTTGCCTTTGATATAATGCATAAAAGTATAGATGTATGAATAAAAGTATAGATGTATTATTAGAAAAAAAATGATGTGATAGGTAAGATATGAAAAAGTAAGAATAAAAGTGGTTTTTAATAGAAAGTGAAAGAGTTTTGCTGGAAGTAAGAAAAATGAAACAGAAAGTGTTTTTTAGATGGGAGGAAGTAATATTTTTTGTCGGTATGAATAATCAAAGTCTTAGTACATGTAGTTTACAACTTGGGGGTATTCATAAACTTTATTATATACCATTGTCTAACAATTACGGAGTGAAATTTACCCTGCATTAAGATATTTCGTCTTTAATATACTCCTTTTCTTCCCCAAAATCCTTCATATTTATTATTCAATGGTGCTCAAAAATTTTTGTTTGCATATGTTTTTTATTAGTTATTTGATAAAATAAAATATTCTTGTCAATATTTATTTTGTTAAATTTTTTTATTTTGTTTGAAAATATAGAAGTTTTATTTTTTTAATTTTTATACCAAAATATAAAGAAAATCATTTAAGAAAAAGATAGAGTTTTGCATGTAAAGACAAAATAGAAAAGTTTTGCTGAAGGGAGGAGTTCATCAAATATATTTGTACCTTTAAACAAAATAATACGAAGTAACAATATTTGTACTATAGGGACATAATATGTATCCGATGGTGGTAGGCTATGGCAAAGGCTAATAGACGTTTGTTGAAGATATCAAAGTTAAAAAGACTAAACTAGGAGTAAAACATTTACTCGGTATAATATAATCTATCTGTTTTATAAAGATATGGACGGTTTGACTTAATGGTAAAATAAAGAGGGATAATTTTGTGTTAACCATCCAAAATTACCCTTGATGTGATGAGTAAACAATAGGATGTGATGTGTAGATTATTAGGAAAAAAGTGTGATGTGAAGGACTTTATGGGACGAAGGGAGTATTAAAATAGGAGTTTTATATTTTTTATTCCCCGAAATGGGAGTAAAAATGCATTTACATAACCAAGCATTACCATGCACATTACCAAAAATGTCTATGTGCAGTGTCACATTACTACAATGTGAACTCCTATTTACGGAGTAAAAACATAAAATTCTTATTTTTGTACTTTCTCTATGTTTACTTCTATTTAGGGTTATTTCTTGATATCAAACACTTTTAATAATTTCTTCTAAATTCATTAGATATCAATATTTACTCTTTTAGAAATTAAAAGTCTTGTTATTTGGAGCGGAGGGAACCCCATGACATTAGAATACCATGTCTGAGATAACCTAGGAGCGCACCGGTGTCTCGTTCGTAAAATTAACGGTCCTACTCCGCTCCTAACCCTCCAGGTAAACCCTCTCACCCTATCCTGACCCGAACACACCCACACCACATTCAATATGCACTTGCAAATTAATTTTGACTTTAGAGTCAAAATTGACTCCAAAGTCTAAATTAACTTGGGAGTGCAATTGAACGAGGTAAGTAGGTTTATCGGGAGGGAGGTTAGAAGGAATAGGAACAGTCAATTTTATGAATAAAGGTCATCTCATAGCATTATCGGTCAATGTTATTGTCATGGGAACCACCACGTATTTGGAGAAGTCAAACCTTAACTTTTTAAAACCTCATGAAACATCAAAAAGTTTTGTTCTTTCCACTCCTTCAATTGCATCCCACAAGTCAATTTTACAAGTCAATTTTGACTTTGTAGTCAAATTTTGACTCCAAAGTCAAAATCGACTTGTGGGGTGCAATTGAAGGGGTGGGGGGTGTGTTCGGGTCGGGGCGGGGTGGAGGGTACCGGGGGGTTAGGGAGGGTAGAAATCGTCAATTTTACGAACGGGACACCGGAGCGCCCCGGGTCATCCCATGACATTGATTTCCAATGTCATGGGAACATTTCCAAGATGAGAACTGAATAGGCATATCCGTTTTGCTCACCTCACCAGGCACCAAATACAGCCTAAGTGCATATTAGCCTTGTTGGCATGATGCGAAATAAAGCTAATTTAAGTTACGGTTGTTTTTATTTTTAAATTTGCTCCTTGTATTTGAATTATTCTGAGAAAAAGACAAAAAAATCTTTATTTATTTTTAGGTTTCTGGAATGATTGAACAAAAGAAATTTTTTTATTTCAACAAATGATTTATGAAAATAACTTGAAAATAGAAAAAAAAATTGACATGTGAATAGTGAAATGAGACTCAAAAAATTGAGATAGAGAGAGTATAGTTGATACGGAGTAGTATTTAGTTTTATTTATGTTTGAGCTTCAAGTCTCTCATCTTGTTTTTGATGTTCTTTAGGCAATAGATTCCTCAAGATATAGATTTTTGTTTAACAAGGAGCTCAAGAATAGTGACGTTGGCCCTCTAAGGAGAATTGTCATTCCAAAGGTATACATATCATATTCCGCAATTTGTTACTCTGTTAAAGTGTAACACTGCTTCTGTTACAATGAACCCAACCTAGTAACATAAATGCTAGAAACTTGCCTAGTTTGACACCAAACTGTTGACAATATAATTGTTTGCATACATAGTAATTATCGGTGAAAAACTTATTGTGTGAGATAGTAATGATGGTAACCTTGATGGATTTGTAAAACGATTCTGGTAATAATTCCTACTCCCTCATTTTCGCAAGAATGGTCAGAGGTTTGAGTTTTTGTCTAAAGACTAAACACAAAAGTTTGCAAACTGTTAAAAGTATCCCACATCGGAAAAGTGTGAGGAAGATAATTGGTATATAAGCTCTTGAGATGAACTAACTAATCGATTGGATTCAATCTTTTAATGCGGTTCAATTCAAGTGTCTTATTGCCCAATCTAGAAGTTTATACCCCATCTCAAATTTTATCATGGTATCAAAGCAGGTTTTGGCCCACCTCGTTTGTCATGGTGTCCGTCTAGACGTTCATTCCTAGCGGCCCGTTAGTCTTTAGCCCAGTTGTCCGTATGGAGTATGTACCCAACGGCCTGTGGCCCGTTTAACCCGATTGCACGTCTGGAAGTCCATACCCAGCGGCTCGTGGTCCTTAAGGTGTTGGCGCTCAAAAAAAAATCAAGGGGATGGGAGTCCATTTGCAAGTGGTCAACCGGTTAGATTCAAAATGGCCCGGTTGTCCACTTGAGGGGGAGTGTTAAGAGTATCCCACATCGGAAAAGTGTGAGGAAGATAATTGGTATATAAGCTCTTGAGATGAACTAACTAATCGATTGGATTCAATCTTTTAATGTGGTTCAATCCAAGTGTCTTATTGCTCAATCCAATTGTCCATACCCATCCTAAATTCTATCAGAATTGTGGATCCCGACTTTATATGCAAGTGGTTAATTTTACCCGACACTCTATTCGTTGTTCTCGGCCCGCCGGAATTTTAACATGATATCAGAGCAAGTCCGGTCCAGGTTTGATTGTTCCTGGTTGTTTTGATGTGGGTTTAGCAAAAATGAGCTACCCCGTCTGTGGTTTGGGCCGAACGGTGAAGCCCTACCTATCAGTTTAAGCTTTTGGGTTAGAATTGTGGATCCCGACTTTATATGCAAGTGGTTAATTTTACCCGACACTCTATTCGTTGTTCTCGGCCCGCCGGAATTTTAACACAAACAATATGGAATAACACAAAAAAGAAAGTATGACCAATCTGCGAAACATAGTATGTCATTCCTTTTTTCTAAGAACTCACATTACAAATTACAAGCTAAGCTTAAAAGATGTTCTAAAACAATTCACAATTAAAAATGAGAAAATTAAGTCATAGAAACAGAATAAATTATTGAATTTTGGAATTCAAAGCTGTAATCGAGTATTCAACAAGGTGTGGTTAGAGTAGCTCACGTGGTTTCTTTCCCTGATCCCCTCCCCCCAAATCCCCACAGAAGAAAGTTGAGCTTCACTGCATTCTACTCAGTACTACAATAGAAAGCATGATTTTAAAGAGGTACAATACATTGTCATTTGTTTATTGTAGAAACCGGCAGAGGACTACCTCCCAAAACTTCTTATAAAGGAAGGGTTTCCGATCACAATGGTGGACATGGACGGACTGCACATTTGGAACTTCAAATTCAGGTTTGGATTCAATCGGTCAAGACTTGGGTACTTTGAATACCATGCATCTAATCCACCATATATATACTGCTTGCTTGTGGGGTAAATATATTAAGGACTCACCCCATTTAACATGGCATTGAGGGAACGTTAACCATGATCTCTAAAGTGCAGCCTTATCTTGACATATATGGAGTATATATGCTTCTCCAAGGAAAAACAATACTCCGTAAATAGAAAACACAGATTAAACAAGACTTGACTAATATGCTTGCTCCTTCAATTCAGTACCCATGAGAGATTTTGTACTTGTCTTTGTTTTCTTCCTCTGTTTGTAAGCTTTAACCAGTTATGTTTGCTTTCCGACTTCCTACCCCCACTCACAGGTATTGGCCAAACAACAGTAGTCGCATGTACGTGCTCGAAAATACAGGTTCAATTAATTCTAAACTCAATTATAGATATCTGCTTCTTGTGATTCTTTAATCCGACACCCAAGCATATATAAGAAGTGGTCCATCTTATATGGTTCATTAGGTGGATTCGTGCATGAGCATAGTTTGGGTCATGGAGACTTCATTGCTTTTTACATTGACGACCACAAAAACAACTATGTATGTGGCTTGCAGCCTTTAATTTCTTCTTCAACCTATATATGCACATTAATTATTATGTACCCGGCCTACTTCAAAAGGGCCATTCATCAATATAATCTTGATGAAATATATAATTAATTAATGCATGGAGAACGCCGTGTAGGCTGATGATAGGTCATCTTATAATTTTAGGTCATTGAAGCAAGGAAATCAGGGGAACAAGAAACATGCAGATCTGCAGGTGTTTTAACAGATGATTATAGATGCCATGATGATGGTGATGTTGCAGTTGCAGTACAAAGTGGAGCCGAACTGGCTGATCAAAAATCATCACACTATTATCCGCAAAGCTTCCCAAGAGTGGACGAACCGGAAACATCTTTCGTTTACGATTCAACTAACTTCTCAAGTGAAGTGTCCCCCTTTGATTTTCTTGGGAGCTCGATGACTACCTACTCAAATTTCGATCCATTGTCAAGCTTCGGATCCATCGAGAGCTTATCCGTTGATGATTTCTACTCAGCTCTGACAAAGTGACTCTAGTACCAGAAGTAATTTATAGAGTTACTCCTTAACACTTTTTGCAGCATGAAGTGCAATATATATATGCCACCTAGAACTATGTGGTAGTATGACAAAATGCCTAGGACTCCGGTAGCATGTTTGTAACTTCTCTTTTTTTGGCTGTTTTTTACTACTTTGGGGGTCAAACATGAAGCAGGTTCGACTCTGAGTTGGAACTTTTTTGAAACTTAATTACCTGCTAGTATATACAATACAATCTGTATTGTTGAAAATTATACTTCCTCCGCCCGAATTACCAGCAGTTCTTTCTTAGCGGGATAGAGAAAGTATATTTCTAACAACAGTGTAAACTTCGAATATTCAAATAAGGTTTATTAAAAGCATCTCCTAAGGATCCTCTATATGTTAAAATATGAAAGTTTTACAACACTTTATCGCTTATATATCTTACTCCAATGGGAATACTATAATTTAGCACACAAGCTATTTCGGATGGTAATGCTTTTCTAACTATATTTGTTCTTTGGGGACTTCTTTCTTATATAAATATAGTATTTATTGATTTTTTAGCCTTGGACCAAAATCTATGCATGTTTTGTATATTCTTCTGATTCCTTTCTTTTTATTCCTTTCTTTTTTCTAGCACATTTTTAAAATTAGTTTTAATATAGTTTTATACTTTCCATCATCTCTGATGGAGCCAAAATTTCACCTGTTTTTGACTTTGGGGTGTGATGGAATAAATCAAAATTGATATCTAAACTATTTGCGCTTCTTTAATTAATGAAGTAGCAGTTAGTCAAGCAATGCAACTTTCGACGTTGAGCCGGGGTCTCTTTGGAAACAGCCTCTCTACTTTCGAGTAGGGGCAAGGTCTGCGTATACACACCCTCCCCAGACCCTACCCTTGTGGGATTTAACTGGGTTGTTGTTGTTGTTGTATAGTTTTATAATAAAAATTACATGTACAGATTTAGGTTGTGTTACTACTGCAGATTTCAACAAGGAAACAGGTCCTCCCCCCACCTACCCCTGCCTCTCCCGACACCCCCTCTCCGAAACACCGGTTGTCATCATATCACATTGGTTTTAAATGACAACAAAACCAGTACATAAATTATATCTCTTGGAGTGCAAATTACACAATCCTTTACAAAAAATATACTCTTAATGACAAAGTCACACGCCTAAAGCAAAATCTTACAAATAAGGTCGTCGTCTATTACGATTGTGTTATTGGTATTGCAATAACAGAACTGCTATCCGCCGTGAGGCCAGCATTATTATAAGTATAATATGAAATTACTTAGAGAAAAGGAATAAATAAGGAAATAAAAAGAAAAGTAATAAAGGTACTTCATTTGCCTTGAGCTGCATTAACTAGCTTTTCACTAAAATCCCAAAGCTTCCTTCCGAGAGCTTCATCTCGGGCCAACTCGCTTGGCTCGTATTCGTTGCAGTCTAGGAAGTACTTTCCGGTAACACCCTTCAGGTCTGGATGGAGTGCCACGTAGCACGTCGTAGCCGCCCCCTGGTCCATCAATATTGTTCATTAATGGTTTATATTATTATATGTTACCAAGGCCGGTTTTATGATTTTTTTTTAAAATCATATGAAGCAGTAAAGAGTCAGTTTGGCAAAAGTTATTGCAGACTAAAATGTGCAGCATGGTAAGATTTCAGAAATGGGTAAAATCTTGTTGTTTGTCATGAATGTGATTTTTTGTTGATTTACCTGGTGGACATTCTTCCACAGCATCCAAGTGAATAGCTTCATAATTTCTGCAACAAAAAAAGGAATCATGATAAAGAGGAAAGTTGATTTGGCGAAAAGAGTGAGTACTATTGCTTTGATTTTCTTTTTAATTACTTGAAAAAAGAACAGAATGTCTCATAAGATTTGTCCATATTATCCCAGGATGCACAGAGTTCACAGTGATATTAGTTCCCTCTTCCTGCATTTCAAGCATTCGATCAATAAAGTTCAAAGGGTTATAAAAGCTGAGGTTATGGAAAACAAAATATAGATGTTACTCGTAAGCGGCGAGAGAGCTCATTAGCATGTAATAAATTGGCCAACTTGGATTGCCCATAAGCCATTTTTTCATGGTAGCTGATAAAAAAAGAAACAAAAGCAAGCTAAGTAGGATTATTAATCTTATGTAGAATTTAATTACACGCGCTGAAACATAAGCAATTAATTAAGCAGACTAACAAATTAAAGGACGTGAAGAATAATATAAATATACCCGGCTTCATCATTGACCATGTCAAACCGTATTCCTTCTTTGTATGTGTAAAGGTGAGCCACAGATGACAAGTTCACAATCCTACCCTGAACACCAGTAACTTTTGCAGTTTCCTTCATTTTGTCCAGAAGAAGGTTTGTCAAGTAAAAATGTCCTGCAAACATGAGTAACATTTGAAGAGAACTGAACACCTAGAAAGAAAAGAAACAATTTCACAAAATAGTACTCCTCCGGTCCTCCCATATATGTTTATTACCAAGATGATTTGTAGCGAACTGCATCTCATATCCATCTTTTGAGAGCTGGAATGGACAGAACATGACACCAGCATTGTTTCTATATAGTAAAAGAAATAATCATATTTTGAAATCATTAGATTAATATTCCAATTAAACTCTAGTCATGTTTTGCATGCACTGGAGATGGAGATAGATTACATCAGGATGTTAAGAGGAAGGTGAAGAGCTTTGAAATCGTCCGCAAATGCCTTAACGGATTTCAAGGAGCCGAGGTCAAGATTGAGAATATCAACACGTGCAATGTTATTTCCCTTTAGGATGAGCTCTTTTGCTTCTCTTGCAGCGTCCATATTTCTTGCGGCGATGATGACATGTGCTCCCCTCAGTGCTAAAACTCTTGCCACTTCTAGACCAATCCCACTCGCACCACCTGCAGTTATTAGTTCAATTTTCATATCAAGTCATCAGTGTTTCACAGGCAGAAGCGGTTAGTTGCAATTGCATCGCCACAAAACTGTCTTGCATTTGTTCATGTTAAAGTTTTGTTATCTAATACTCTTATTCTCCCCTTTCATTACCAATACTTTGTTTTTCCCTTGCTATTCTTCTTTGGTTTTGTTTTTTTATTTAACTTATTTCTATGTTTTTTGAGCCAGAGTGTTTTTGGAAAGTAGTATCTCAACAAACTTTTTCGGTCGGTGTGCGTACATCAATGGTCAACCCTCCTTGGAACCCATGTGAAGGACTGCACTGCTTTTTCGTTGTTGTCGTAAGACATAAATGGCCACTCGACATGAGTATGCTAGAAATCCACCAGGTTCGACATCAAGTACTTCACAGATATTAAAAAAAAGTTATTGGGAGTTCAATCTTCCACGGTGGGTTGTTTTCTTTCCTTTTGAAGAAATACCCTAAATGGTTTGGGAAGATATCATATCTGTTTGTGAAACCAACGAACATTAGGTATAAAAAAATCATGTGACCCATGAAACCAAAAGTCAATAGATATAAGGTAAGAGGCTTGAAAATCAAGTTTACGAGCTGTAAAGTTTGCTAAACATCGTTAAGATTAGTGAGGTGGTTAGTGAAGGTGGGCACAACTAAGCCGAACTAATATAGATCATAGTGTTGTTTATTGCTTTCCATCATATATATTCTTCGTTTCATGAGTGTTTGATTTGGTGTTTCTTAATGCGAGAGCTTTTCACATGAAAACCTTGCAAAAATCAGCCAGAGTCAGCAACATCCCTAATCATTTCTCCCTCTACAAGTGTGCATAATTTCTAACATCCACATCTTTGTAACTTCAACAGACAAAAACAAATGCAATGTAAAACCAAATGCATATACAATGTGAATGATGGCAATGTATAGTACCAAAAAGTATTGTAGAATGTCGAACTATAGTGCCACAATGCCACATTATCACAGTAAACTCTTATTTTGGAGATAAACATATGAATTTCTTATTTTTGTACTTCTTCTATGTTTTACTCCAACTAGTATTCTGACCCGTGCCATGCACGGGGTTGAAAGAAATTTATGTCGATTTTGAATTATTTAAATGAATTTTTTTTTCGGAATAATGAAAAATATATTGCTCACATGATTTTTAATACTACAAATGAAAAAGGCCAAAGTAAAATAAATAATATTTTAGGAATAGAATGTAGAGTTAACAATGTTTATTTTAATACCAAATTTTCTGAAAGACTTCAGGGTATACAACATTTTTGGTATGGTTGCAAGGGTTTCCATTGTCATCTAGAACTAATATTTTTAATCTTGTCTTCGTCTTCACTCGTGAAACAGCAACATATAGTTAACCATGTATGAACACTGACTTGGTTAAAACTAATCCCACAAATGACAATGTTTGACCTTGACTTTTGTTAATAGTCATAGCAAAACATAAGGCGATCGAGAATTGTCTTCTTTGGAACTTCAAGGGTAGCCCTGGATCAGATGGTACCAAATTCATTCTATGGATGTAAACTTTTTCCGCGACTCGATTTTCTGAAACCACAATTGCACCGGCAAAATTATTTCGCAACTCTTGAACGATTAATCTTGTCTCATCACACAATCCAGATGTTTGGTTAATGTTCCTCAATAGCATAATCGGTTCCCCTGTTTTCAAGACTATTTTGTGGTTTGGGATTCCCGAACATTTGATTTTGTTCAAAAACTCAACTGTTATCCAATCGCCATCAACACCTACATCTGCTTCTGCTTGGCACGAAGAATCAGAACCCAAGTACTCCTTCTCA